TGACAGTAGAACCTGTGTTCCTCTATAGTTTCAGGTATGCTGAGTTCGATTCAGAACGCTCTCATTCCACCTCCGATTCCCTCAAACCCTTCCCCAGTCCCACCAGATCCTTTCAAGCCAATTACACCGGTCAGCGGTAAGTCACCCAGCCAGCTTATGGTACCATTGAATTTTCTGGAAGAAAAATTCCAGAGCTGAACGTTACCTATCCGTTCATTCCTATCGGTACCAGTAATCCAATCCCACCTCCCTTCTCACCACCTCCGGTTTGTTTTTTTGATTGTTCTGCTCGATTCTCATTGCTCTCAATCAACTCTTTTTTTTTGAGGTTCTGTCATTTTAAACATTTTATTTTTATTCATTCAGCTCAATCCGTACGCTCCGTTGCAAGGGATACAGAGGCCAATCCATTACGTACGTTATCTCATTCGATTAAAGAAATTTATGGAAAAATTGTCGCTCGAATGGATTTGTATGGGATTAAAAGGACCATGTCAAAAATACATCGGTTACTTCTTCTACAACGTCCCACCTCTATTACATGGTTTCCTTGGCCCAGACAAAGACACCTACTCCAGATACCTTAAAGGCACGGTTCACGATAAAAATGGTTTCCAAGTTCTCCCTTTAGGAATATCCAGTGGCCCCAAGATTAACAGGAAACCCTCTTGCGCCCAAAGACTCAACAGTTAGGGCATAGTGAGAGCCCCGTTACCGGATCGCCCAGACTTCCCGCCTCTAGACCGACGTCACGTTGGACGAGAGATTGCAAATTTTCGCTCTAGGACCCACACACAATCAGCTGATCATCGAGTAATGAGGCGATGTTTTACTTCTATCCTTTTGTTCTCTGTTATTCTTTTTCTAGTTGCGATCTCTAATTTAATTTTCTACCCACAGAGGCTGAAGAAGTTGAGCTATTTTTGCTGTTCCTAGGGGTTTTTTGTTAATTTTACTTATGAGTGAATGATTTTTGCCTACCGTAGCCAGTTATTCGCACCAAGAACCACACGTAGACACTGACACACATTGTAGAACTCGTCCAAACGCCCCATTCTTCTTCATTTTCTGGTCTCATTCTCGTCCAGTCCCCCTCTCCCCCTTTTTTCGAGCCCTTTTCACTTTGGAAACACCGACTCACGCAGTTTCATCGCAACATTTTCCATTTGAATTTCCAATTTTTGTCATAATCAGGATTTCACTAAATTATCCTGAACTGTGCCTTTAAAGCGGTGGCCAAAACAGCTATTAGTGTTGCAATTTCCGGAGCGATTCTTGAAAATGCCGAAAATGTCGTGGAAGAATTAAATATTCTTCAAAAAAAAAGCCGGAGGACAAGTCGTAAGAAACATCGGAGGCAAAAAGCAGCGTGCGATTCAATCACATATGGGTCCTAGCTAACGGGGCCACTTCCATTACATACTTTGTAGGTATGCCCTTCAGTTTTCGAGCCTTCCAAATGATTTTTGATTACCCCTATGTTACCTTTACACGCGTAAAATCGATACCTATCTCAAAATGCAGGTACAATTAGAACGAAATGGGCAGTGCACCCAGCAATACCCATTTTAATCCGTTGTGACACGGAACTTTTCTATATCTTGTGGTTTCTTCCCTACTCCATCTCAAGCTCAGGGGTATCGTTCAAACTTCGATACGAGAAGATTCTGACCCTGGTCTTGAGGGGTTACTGAGAAAATCTCGGGAAACGCCTGTTTTTTGTGCTTCTTCCGGGCAAAAATCCCATGCTTCGCCCGGGCAACAACTCCAAACCACTTTTTTCTCAGCTACAAGATCAGGGCAAAGTTATGAGGCATCCGATTATTCTGTTTAGTCCTCATTCCGACGAGGCTCTTTCAATAACAACAGGAATGTTCCTCCGATTCCACTCGCTGCTGCACCAGGTAAGTTATTATTTCCATATATCATATTTGTAGATGTTTTTATTTTTAAATTCAAAGTTTTTCGAAATTCTCAACGAGTTCATTACTCCAATTCTAGGTTATGTTGGAGGTGATGCTTACGTTGACTCCACCGTATTACAGTACTCTAAAAAACCAGTAAGTCCGAAGAGGCCTGCCTCAGAGCCATCTCGTTTTGTTCTATATCGGCTGTTGATTGATCAGTTGTTATTAGTGAAGGAAATTGATTTTTTGCCACGAATTTCAGTTGCCCGATANTTTTTTCTCAGCTACAAGATCAGAGCAAAGTTATGAGGCATCCGATTATTCTGTTTAGTCCTCATTCCGACGAGGCTCTTTCAATAACAACAGGAATATTCCTCCGATTCCACTCGCTACTGCACCAGGTTAGTTATTACTTCCATATATTCATATCTGTTGATGTTTTTATTTTTAAATTTAAAGTTTTCCGAAATTCTCAATGAGTTCATTACTCCAATTCTAGGTTATGTTGGAGGTGATGCTTACGTTGACTCCACCGTATTACAGTACTCTAAAAAACCAGTAAGTCCGAAGAGGCCTGCCTCAGAGCCATCTCGTTTTGTTCTCCATCGGCTGTTGATTGATCAGTTGTTATTAGTGAAGGAAATTGATTTTTTGCCACGAATTTCAGTTGCCCGATACCGATTTTTCACTTGACAGCAGGCCAGTTATCGTAAACAAGGATCGACTACCTTCACCAGCAGAGGAAACCGGCAGAAAGCTTATTCGGCCAAGGTATGTGCCAATAGGACCGTTTGCAACAAACCAAAAATCGCTATCAGTATGAAGAGTATCAGGAAAAAATACCGCATTATCACTAATTTTTATCACTTGGTATGGATATCTACTTCAATCAGATCCATCAGTGGACCCTATCGAGAAAATCAAGAAGAAAGTGAATCGTATGGAAAACTTCAATTGTTTGCTCGGAATCATCCCACGTTTATGCAGTCGCTTGGAACACGATTACCATCGAAGGAAAGTGGACTGATTCCACCGAAGGTAAGTAAATCCTCCAGTACTAGTAATATGACAGATAAGAAATGTAGAATGGTTCGTCTATTTTGGGAAAGTCCCTTTGGAATTATATTGCCGTTAGCCCCTATTTGTGAGGCATCGTGTTACCTGGTGACTAAAATCCTGCTTAGGCCTTCTCCATGTAGATACAAATTTTGTTATTTGGAAATTTCCTCTCTTAAAAATAGCTTTCAACTCGTTCTCACTTTTATTACCCGTCGAAATCTCGTAGATGCGATTCAGGATTTGCCCCGCCCTCAAGAGGACGAGTTCACCCCCTGTTGGTGTTTCCTTTTCCTACACCCCACCGAGATTTTCAGCTACTTCTTCCGAACAGCCCCGATCCTTGGGGAAAAAGTAATCGCGGATTCAGTCGTATACCTCTTCTATTATCAAGCTCCCGCTCCGACTCTTGCAGGGGAGCTTCTGAAGTGTACCGGTAGGCTCGGAATGCCCTTTACAATGCTGACCTTCATAGTTCCTTTGAATCTTGAAGCTTTTTTCATGTGCCGTAGATAACATTGCACATTTACGGTACTGAACCCAGTGTTGGTTCATGCCTTCTGCCCTAATTACCCCCTCCCCCGTTTAGTTTAGTCCATTTCTCCCAGTCGTAGGGCTGTATAAGGGGCAAATTGGGCCTATATCCTCAACGGCAAGCCTCACTACATACTAACGATGTCTCCTTCAGTATATGGATGATCATACATCTTCATCCGTACCCTAACTTGGCTGATCCTTTCCAGATTATCCTTTTGGTAGTGTCAAGCACCTAAGCCACTTGCGACTTGTCTGAAAACTGTCTACTTTTCGATTTTGAGGTATCACCCCATTTTAGAATCTACCCTATTCATTTGAGTAGGGATTCGTTATCACTGCGCGGTACATCTTCCCTCATGACCTCTCCTGATTGGTCCTTTCCGAATGGTTTTCTTCACCTAAATGGTCCTTTCCGGATGGTTTTCAGATTTCAGATCAAAGAGCCTGTGCATCTCTCCATCAACCGAAGAACAACCCAATCTTTTTTCCTGGGGAACTCATAGACATTTATCAAAACTTCTTCTTTTCAGTTGAACGTAGGCGATGCGCCACGAAGTGCTCTGAGTCCAAATGAAAAACTGGATTTGTGTTGTCGAAAAAGAGCCGTAAATCCAGCCTGTCAATCGATGTGCAATTTCGATGTACTCAACGAGCAAACGGTTCGTTTCCTATGCCCTGCCTATATTTTTTAACACTTTTCCTGTATGCAACCCTCAGTGGCACCACTGAGGACAGCCGGTAAGCGCTGAGCTGTGCTGTAAGTGTTGACTCACAACCAGGCTAATTTTTCATCCCTACAACACCTTTTTTTCCTCCTCCAAAAAAACAATCGAAAAGGTCAATCCAGGGTACATCCATCTTGTAAAAAAAAGCTGTTCACAACAAAAGAATGTTTTGTGTGCCTGTCGGTTTGTTGGTGTGTGTGTGTGGGTGTAAATGTGTATGTGTGTGTATGTGTGTATGTGTGTGTGGGTGTGTGTGGGGTGTGTGGTGTATCTTTGACTAGAACTTCACAACTCCTATCCCCTTGAACTTGGTAGAGTTTTCCAATTCGAAAAGGATACAGACTGCAGAATGGGAGCACTGATGATAGGTGATAAGAGATGATAACAATTGATAGGGGCTCACAAGGAGCTTTAGAATTCAGGAATCACAAAATCCATTATTTGTGTTAACGGTGGAACCCGTAAGCTTGGTAGGTTATAAGAGGTAGTGGGTGTTAAGAAACCATAACAGCTGATATCCTACTTGTATAA